TGCGGATATAATAAAAATCACAAATAAATTATAATTATCGTGAAAGATCATACGAAATTATTACTAAAAAACTTGAAAGTGCTAAAACCCAAAAGAGCAAAACGTTTTTTTTTTAAAAAAAAAAAATTTTAATCAATGTAATCATTCGGGGTGGCTAAAATTTTACGTAACCATCTAATGCGTCACTTCTTTTCGCGATCAATGATGTAATTAAAATACTAATCTTTTTTCATTAACTGTTAATTCTTACTATGATGTCATAGAATTAACACCTGATTTTTGAACATCTCCAAGTTACCATTACGATGAGCAAGCCGACATCGCCAAGCAAAACGAGAAATTCGATCATCTGACTATGACCGTAATAGGAACACACATGACAAGTGAGATCCAGTTGGTCTTCTTCGCCCATGACCATAGTAAGAGCATGACAATATGTCGTGCCTGGCTTAATTTAGGTCAATCAATGTCGATCAGTTAATGCGGGCCAAAAAGTCGACATCTGCGGGTTAATTCATTATTTGTGAGGGGAGCCTGCTTCGGGAGATCCTGCTTCTTAACGCAAGCATTAATCTGAGGCACAACAAATACTGAAATATACCGAATAGTTGTCTTCTTCGGTGATGACGCTAAAAAAATTTTTTTGGAACCTTTTAATGGTTTCAGAATAGTTCTCCAACCTATTTTCCATTGGAGTATCGTAGCTTTAAATAAAATATTAATATTAATAAAGTATACTTAAAAATATAAATTATAAATAACTATTATGATATATACTAACTTTAGATGGGTATTAAGCTTCGAATACAGAAGAACGAGCCCTACTGATTCCTTTAAATTTACGATCCCTAAATAAGAACGACGACTTAAATACAGGAATCAAATTATGGCTCGAAAACGAAATAGACGAAATAGAAAAGTAATATTCGTATAAACTTTATATTTCGAAAATTATGCTCCACAATAATATAACGATCATTTTGTTCCATTCACAGTTAACTTGAACGCATGAAAATAATTGCTCGAAATTATCTTCGAGGTAGTATAAAAATTTCGAGCGGAAACGTGTCCATCTTAACACGAAGAACTAGGAAATTTGCGAACAGCCGGTGAATTGGTTGCAAAAATTGATAAATTCTGGTGTTTGTTTCCAATGAATTTTACTATTAAATAATAAAACTAAAAAATTGTTATGTGGCAGCCTGTGTTATGTCACCAATATTACATTCATCAAGTGCAGAAGTTGATTTTGAGTTTGCGGCATTTAGCCCAAGACATACCGTATTACATAAATTTCCAGTCACTGCTAAAATATAATTCAAAATGCCAAAGAACACCTTCAACCTCAATAAATTTTATTTAGACAGTATCTACGCATTTACCGATATATGATATAAAAATATAAATTGGTTTTTATATTATTTATAAAATGTCGTGAAAAATAAAATTTTGCCATTGAATATTATAATAAATAATAAAGATAATTATTTTTTGCACTATAATCAGCAGAATTAAAAACCATTTATAAGTTTATTTTTGTCGATATATACAGGAAAGGCATTTACAAGTTTGATAAGGCAGATTAACGTAATTGTGGGTTTAGTGCGTTTTGATGAAGGTTATATACTTTCTTTATCACTGACTTCATTAAGATCAAAGATCAAAAAGCATCTTAATTATCATGAAATATTAAAATTTTAAAAAAACTAATCGAAAGGCATTTTTATTTTGAATTCGTTTGATGTCTGATTTGAGTGAATCAGTAATGATAATCAAATTGAAATAGCAAGTGAATTTTAGATCCGCAGTATCACGGGATTTATATATTCCGACACAAGTGACAAGATCCCCCGAAATACATACTGATACTTTCAAAAAGTTGAAGATTTGTGTCATTTTTAAATGGCTGTATCTTTTCTTACTCTAGCAACTTAAATAACCACTTTGCTCTCAACGCATTTTGTTATCAATGGCGGCTTTTGAGAGTAAACCCAAAGGAATTCTTAAAAAACCATCCATAAACTTTCAACAGAAAAACAGGTAAGCCAAACATTATAATGATTTGTCAATTTCAACATTAATAGGTTAAACCTTTTTTACAAGGCTAAAATGGGATGAAGACAACATTCAACTTACTGAAAGCCAGAAGAACTCTACAATGAAAATTACTGAACCTAAAACTCCGTACATTCATTACAATCAAGAAACTGATGAAATCATGACTGATCTTCAAAGTAAGATTTATTTTAAATGAAGTCGAGTTTAGTTATTATCCATGAAGTTGATTTATGTTCTGAGAAGTCCACTTTTATATGCTTTAAAGCTATTCCAGGTCTCATTTTGGAATCTAATAGTAGAGAGTCTCTCCCATCAGGATCTCTTTCATCCGTTTCACCATCATCAGCTCATTTTCCTGATTCAGTAAAAGATGATTGGGATTCCGACGGTTCAGAAGATGAAGAAAGTATGATATTATTTTAATTTAACATAATTAAAGTGAGTTTATTGAAATATTCATTTATAATGAATGATTTACTGATCCATTCTAAATAACCTACTTTATCTAGCCAAAGAAAAACGTCGCAAATTTGCACAGCTTAGAGCTAAACATTATAACATGAAGGAAGCGCTTAGTATAGGTCATAAGCTGGTTGAAAATGAGGAGGAGGAGGAGGAGGATGATGATGATGACAATGATGAAAATGACTTTAATGCTTTCAAGGCTAAACTTACGAAAAATCAAACAGAAGACAATTCTGACAATAACGATTCGTCATCAAATGTTTTAATGGAAACATAGAAAATTTTGTTGTTTGTTTCAAGACATTTTCTATCTTGATCTTGCTTGCACTTTAATTTTTCTCATAATGCAAAAAAAAAACAAACTATATTGCTACATGCTTTCAAAGTTGAGAACTGATCACTGTGCTTATCAAAACAATATCTTTTTTATGAGTAATCATTTTCAAAGAAAGCATTTAATGGATTTAATAGCATAAGCATATATAAAAATTTTGCGATTACTATACTGAATAGTTGCATTAGTATATGTAATTATTTTTTATTAATTTTTTTGTTTGGGTTGAATAAAATTTACGAATCTAACGAAATTATTTCAATGCTAATCCAATTCATTGTTGTCATACTAGTTGCATTTACTAATTTGCATTGGAGCTTTTTTTTTCGATACTTTATACTGCTAATCTGATCAAAATGGTCTAACATTAATTTAGACGAGCATTTAGGAAAATTGTGCATTGTTAATTGTAATGTAACCATACCGATACTCCCTTTTAAAGATCTATATGAACCAATAATGCACGTTATATATTATTGATTTCCAAATGGTTTTCAAATGTCAAAGAAACGAGATTATCCCGTGTAATCGATAATTTTAATTAAGATCATCTTATAGATAGTAATTTTTAAAGATATATACTGCATATAACTTTGTTGTCATTGTATCAACATTTACACGATTTGATTGAATTGTATTTTTGCAGTATTTTCAAGAAGAAACCAGAATTTTTAATGTTGAGCCAATCATCCTTAACTAGAGGCGACAATTTTTGATAGCCAATAAAAAATTGCCTTAAATTGGCTAAATTTAGGCATCAGACTTGTACTAATTTTAAACTCGTGATAACGACGATATACTAGAATAAAATATTATGGATAGTTTAAAATCTGAAATCGAAAAGAAAAGAAAATCTTTAGGAAACGGAGATCAAGGATCTAAAAAAAAGAAGTATGTCAGTCGAGCAGAGTTAGAAAAACAAAGAGAACAAGAGTACTTAAAGGTTCAAGAAGATTTAGAACGAAAGCGTGAGGTACAGTCTTTTGATTTTAATTTATGCATTATTCGTTTCCTTAAATCTTTTTTGGCAAAAGAATTTTTCTCCTAATCACGTTTTATTTCTTTAGGAAAAACGTAAATTACACTCTCAAACGGTATGCTTTAAAATATGATCCTTTTGATCTCGTATAGTTAAAAGCTGACAGACTAAACTTTATTCTTGCGCTTAATAGATTACGGCATCTAATGAATTCGAAAAAACAGAAAGCTCCACACCGAATAATGAAGTGCAAAAAGAAGAGGTAATAACTTTGACATTAATATTTTTTATTAACACTTTCTTAACACTTTTATTAAACTTTGATTATTAAAAATAATTATTTCAGAATGATGGTAGTGATACCTTTAATATTTCGCAAGAAGAAGTAATTCGTAGATTAAGAGCAAAGGGACAACCAATTCGACTTTTCGGAGAATCAGATAAAGATAGAAAAACTCGATTACGAGCAATTGAACTTATAGAGGAAAGATCAGAAGGACAACGTAATGATTTCATGAAAACTTTGGAAGAAATGGAGACTGGTTTAGATTTAGAAATTTTGAAAAAACAACCTGAAGAAGATAATAGTAGATCTTCAAAGAAAAAGAGACCAATTGAAGATTTACCTTTAGATAACACACCAATTGAAGTTGATCTCATTGAAAAAGATTCTGACAAACTTTATGTCCTTATATACACTTTTTTTAAGGTGTGTGTATTGTTTGAGTATGTACAATACTTATGTAAATATTTATTTTACTTACAAATTCAATCATATATAGCGCTTATTAAGAGAATGGGAACATGAAATGAATAATCGTCCAGATCATATAAAGAGAAGCACACAAGGAAAATTTGCAGCAGCTACTCAAAAACAGACAAATGAATATATGCAACCGTTCTTTAGAACACTAAAAAAAAAGGTAGGAAAAAACATTATTACTAATAAAAAATTACTAGTTTATTAGTTGATATAATATATATAGTTATTAAAAGTATATAAATGATATTAGGCAATTGAACCAGATGTACTGGCACGAATAACTGAAATTACACATTATATGCAAAAACGAGAGTATATGAAAGCAAATGATGCTTATTTGCGTTTATCTATTGGGAATGCACCTTGGCCCATTGGTAAGCATCGTTTTTGATATAATATTATTAAAATTTATTTTATTTATTTGAGAAAAACATTTATCAACATTACATTATTTAAAATTAGGTGTTACTATGGTTGGGTAAGTATTTATTTCATAATTTAAGCATCTCAACATCTGGTTTTTATTGATACATTTTAATTTATATAATATTATTTATTTAAAATAGTATTCACGAACGTTCTGCACGTGAAAAGATTTTCTCAGCACAAGTCGCCCATGTGCTTAACGATGAGACAACACGTAAATGGATCCAGTCGATAAAAAGGTTAATGACATTTTGTCAGTCCAAATATCCGCCAGAGGATAATTCACAACTTATGGGATAAGAATGATTAAAAATAATTATTACATCTTTGGGATATATTTTAATGATTTTAATAGTTATTATTTAGGTATTTTTTGTATTTTTTAAAGAAGCAAGCACTTCTTAACAAGGAGTTACATTATAAGCAGAATTCCTAATTCCAAAAGAATTGGAGAAATAATCTAGTGTTTTATACATATTAGATTAATTAAAGTAATAAAAATTACTTTTGTATAAAATTATATATATTTATATATTTATGCAACTTGAGGAAAATATGTACGCAAATTTATTTCTACACTTTTATTTCATTAAAATAAGTAAAGCCCACGCGTTATATTATATTAAAGATTTCAATAATTCAAACAATTATTGTAATAGATAAAAAAAAAATCGAGGATTTAATTTTTTAAAAAATTTTTAATAAAGCAATGATTCTAAAAAAAGCACCCGTCCTTATGACTCGGAAACCCACTCATAATTTTCGAAGAAATAAAATTAATACTATATACGATAATATAAAAAATTTTGAAAGTATAAAACCGTAAATTAATAACCTTTTTTTTTTTCGTGATAACAAGCCTACACACTAAATCAAACAAATTTTTTAAATGTTCATGAAAAAAAAAAACCGCGTTTTGTATTCGTTAATTTAACAACCTTTGTCAAATTACCCCACAAGAATTTTCAAAGATATATAAAAATAATAAAAATTACGAAAATGCTTCCATATCACACGATTCCAGATCATACTTTTTTGAAAACCTTTTTTTACTATGTTTACCGGCACCATTTGGAACATGCAATTCAAATACTTGCATTATATAATTTTTACAATGGTCAGCATTTGGTAATTCTTGTATCATCTTTCGAATAGTAGGTTGAGATAAACCAAAATAATCAGGACCAGACGCAGCATTAGAATGCTTCCGTTCACGAATGATATTAGCTTGTTTAATTACAGGCGTCCAGGCACCAGTTGCACTCGACGCAGTGATCGGTTGATTCGGACGATCTTCAGCTTCAACGATGAACTAAAAACATTAATGTAACGTTATTGTAAAAGGTTAAAAAGCTAAAAAAAATCACGACTGAAAAAAAAAATGAATTAAAAATTACCTTTGGCCCATCTTCACCATCTTCTATCCTAGAAGTGTAAATTGTATTTTTATCAGGATCAACCATACTGAGATATGGCCTAAAAGTTGAAAGTTTTTTAAGTTAGTAAGGATTGAAAGTATAGTAATCAAATAATAATACTAATAATAATAATAATAATATTATTATTATTATTATTATTATTATTATCATTAATATTAATATTAATAATAATAATAATATTATTATTATTATTATTATTATTATTTATTATTATTACATGTGAACATAAAGATAGTAATATAAACCTTTTAACAGCATAGCCAACAGGATAAATATATCGATCATTATGAAATGAATCTCGATCATAAACAATTTTTCCAAGTTTGATTACAGTGTGAAGGCCAACTTCAACAGGAAGAATAAAATTTCCATTCTCATCTTTAGGGACAAGATAAGCTTTCATATTTCTTGGTGCAGCGGGAGCACGGCCTTGACCACGTTTTGGAGCTGAAACTTTTGATTTAATTGGAATATCATTTACAATATTTCTTACAAGGGACCGGTGTTTTGTATTAACAAGAGCTGAAGAAGTACTTTTAGGAATAATAGAAGAAGAACTATCATATTTGGTAATAGGCTTGGATACTCTTGCATGCTTAGACTCAGGTTCAATTGAAGACTTTGCTAATTGCCCCAGCAAAGAACTTTTTTAAAAGAAAAAAATTAATAAAACAAAATATAAAATTAACAAAATTTATATTGGTTTATAACAAAGGCTTACTCTCTTTCGTCCTTACACCTTTTAATCTTTTTGATTGCGCGCTCGCATTCTTCGTTTAGATTCGCATTTTTCTATATTTTAAAGAACTGAACTTTTAGATCATTTTGAGAATATTTAACGAAGGTGTGTTGATTAACAGCAGTAAAACTTTTAATTATTACAAGCTCATACCTTTTTTAATTCTTTATATTTGCGTTTTAAATCCGTGTATTTGTCATATAGGGAAGGAGAAAGGTCACCTTGAGATTTTTTTAATTGATTCTTTGGAGGTCTACCCACCATTAGGAATTTTAGAATAATAATGAAAAAAAAAATTTAAAAAAAGAAGAATGAGTTTTTTTTGGTTAAACACAAACACGAGCAAAACAGGCTGTATGTCGTGGGATCAGTATTTATGATGTTTTATTATTGGAGAATATTTGGTTTATAGTTCTTTTATACGATTCCGTTACCTTATCAGAAGAAATGTTGAATTGTTATCGTTACACAGTCATCATTAATAATTTGTCACGCATTCACGCGATTGAAAGAGTTCGCGACGAAAAATATAGAATTTAATTCATAATAATGAAAATAAGAAAGGTAAAGAAAAGAGAAAGAATAATAATAAGGAAATGACGAAATCATTGTGATGAAATATATCAAGTATTTTACAGATCCCTGAGAAAGTTAATCAACAAAAATAAATGCATAAAAAATTTTTTTTATAAATTATTCGAAGGATTTTTTTTTTTTGGAATGATGAAATGTAATTGGCTCATCTCATCGATAATTGATAAAAAAATTTTCGATAATTAAAATTCTAAAAATTTTGATATATAACTTATCACAAGAGTTTAACGTTGATTCTTTTATAAGACTTAACGAAAGTACCCTTTATTATAACAAATCATTAATATAAATCATTAATACGAAATAAAATCAAAAGAACATTTACGTAGAATATTTATTTTTATTTATTCTATTAATCTTTGTAAATGCCTAATTTAATGATTATAATATAGTATCTAATACCGGGTATTTGGTGACATGAATGAGTACACGAGTTTTAACTTGGAAGATACACTAGTTTGATAAACATCGGATATATCTACATATATCTACATATATATATATATTTATACGTCTATACGTACATATGCCATATGGCATTTAATAAGTTCCGTGAATATATGCTAGATATATATATATATATTGTAGATAATGCTGCGGTATTTGTGAATGTATTCATTGTACGTATTGTTTTCTTTTCAATGTCATACTGTAATATAAAAAAGCCGTTAAAATAAGTATTTATTGAATTATATTGGTTTCATTGTCATAACTTGATTCATCAATGTTATATGCCGGTTATACATATCAATCAAACAACTGTGATATATTGAGTCAGAAAAGCCTTCAAAGTTCTTTAAATCCTTTAAATACTTCTTTAGTTAATCTTATTTACTTTAGGCAATCTTACTTTAGTTTAGTTAATTCTATACTATTTTTATTTTAGCATATGATGGTAAACGAATTAACATATTGGTCTATATATATATTTATATTTATACGTAATGCATTGTATCCACGTGATAAGCAATTATATTGATAAACTTTAAAAAAATCATATGTTTAAAACCCTTTTTAGTTCATTAGCAACGTAATTGGTTTAAAATTTAGGCATACAAAATTTCACACTTATACGTACATTATAAATTAAAATTACACATACCGATACGTTTTAAATGAATTTTAATTTTTTTTGAAACCCGATTTTAAGTGAATTATATTTCTGTTATACTCCATTTCTTGTTAAGTATAGCAACCTTGTTTTAAAGTTGTCTACCACACCGCATTAATTAAAAGTAGGGATGTTATGTGGTCCGGTCTTAGACTAATAGACCTCAGTTAGTCAAAAGACCGGTCTGGATCTAAAAAAAATTGGTCTGCTCTAAGTCTTAAGACTGGATCGGTTTGGACCGGTCTAGACTAGCAAAGTCTTAAGACAGAAGACCATAATAGACCAGATTAGACTTGGACCAAAATTGACCAGACCGAACCAGACTGGACCCTAATTATATACAGTATATAATTCTATATAAAATGTGAGATAATTTGTGATATTTTACAAAAATATGTATCTATTCAATAAAAAAAAAATAATAAAAATTAATAATAATATTTTACTTTGATGAATTAATATAAAATTTATAGTTTTTAATTATACAATACAAATACAGCATTCTTAAACCAGCAAGTTATAAATTTAGCGGCCAAATTTAATTATATATTATACAAATTAATATAATTAACTATAGTATAAAGAAGAAAAAAAGAAAAGAGATCATAAAAAATTAAAAATTAGATATACTTATAATAATTTTTTAATTAATATTAATTTATAAATTTGGCCAAAGTTATATTAATTTTTGACCAGAATTATGTTATTTTCAAATAAATTTGACCAAATCAAAATAGCCAAATTTTAAATTTATTAATAAAATTAGGTAATTTCAAAAGAATATAATATGTTTTTAAAAATAAGTTACTGCCAAAATTATAAAAATGTCTTAACTCCAAAAACAAAGCCACACAAATTAATATAATTAATTTTTATAACCTGGCTGAGTTAATAAAGTGAAGTTTAGAAATTTTTTTTTAATATAGCTAACCAATATATGTTTGATAATCATATGACAAAAAAACAGTTAATTCATCAATTGATTGGTAAATTAGTTAAAATATTAAGATTATATTATACTTTGATATAGCTATAATTAGTGCTTGGCAAAATCAAATAAAACTTGAAAATCAAGTTTTTGATTTCTATTGATCTTAAAGTAGCAGATTTAAAATTATATTAATAAATGATTCACCAGTCACCTGGACAAAAAATTTTTTTATTATATATAAATTTTGGATTTTATTTAGTATAAATGGGAATATATAAATATTATAAAATTATTTAATATAAAAAAACTCTAACCCTAACCCAAAGCTAACCAAAAACTATACTATGACCCTCACTCTAACCCTAACTATTCTCAAATCTGTTTATATTAGTTCAAATAATTATTTTTATATCAAATAATCTTATATTATTTATATATTCCCACCTATACTAAATATTAACCTAAATTTTACTATATCTCTATTTAAAACTTTTTTTTATATTAAGTAAATTACTTTTTGGCTTCTAACAAAAGTTGTAGAGCTCATCAAAATGTATCTAATACTGAAAGAATATTAAAATTGGCCTGGTAGTTTTTGAGAAATCTTTAAAAAACTTCTTTTTTATATATAAAATTTCTTTAAAAAAATTAATTTTTTTAAAGAAATTTTATATGTGAAAAAGAAGTTTTTTAAATAATTTACTTAGTATAAAAAAAAAGTTTAAATAGAGATATTGTGCATTTGCACTTATAGTAAAATTTATATATAAAAAAAAATTTTTTGTTCAAATGATTAATGAATTGCCTATTAAATTAAATCTATTTTTAGTAATGATCTGATTTTAAAAATCAAGTATTGCTATTTATTATACTTATACTTAATTTAAATTTAAAAATATTTTATTTAAATATTAATATTTTTTAATTTTATTTTTTTTATACAGTAATACTTGTCAAACTCTTTCTGATGATCACTTAAACCAAAAATTTCTCACTAACAGAAAAACAAATCTTTGTTGAAGAGTCATGGTTGACATAGTGGTTTGTCTAAAGGTCAACGTTTACTCAGTGTGACTCCTCTAAAAGACGTTTGGTATACAAGCCAGGAGTATTACTATACAAGTTAATTGGCAAGGTAATAATAAACCTGGAGATGGCGCCTTTGTATATAAAATCTTGGTGGAGTATGGGAAAGCCCAACTTCATCAACAAAACTACTTGACTGTTAACAAAAAACACAGGGGATACAACAAAATTTTAGTTTTTCCAAGCTGCACTCTTTTACTTGGATAAGTAGTTCTCCTCTTTACTCACTCTTGTTTCCCTATTGGTCTTTCAAATTTTTTTAAAAAAGTAGGAGATTTGGCTTACCCTCTTCAAAAGATCGACATTGTTTACTTTCTAAATTCGGACAACTTAATGAATTGCAACCACGTGTTTTACAGATACAGTGCGTTAAGATTGGGCCCCGACATGAAACCTCTAATAATGGCAGCAGGTGGCTTGAGATACGGGTCTACGGACGGTGGTAGCACCTGGCTCGAGATACGAATTAGAACAGGTACGACATAGTCACTCAGAGTTAATCGGAAAGTCAAAAAGAAAAATCAAACGTTAAAGCGAAGCTTTACAATAGGGATATACAAATGTTGTATTTGTTATATAATTTTTATACTTATCTGACATGGGTTTACTGCTTGGCAAAATCGAACAAAAACTCGATTATTGAGTTTTTGAATCTATCAATTTACAATATTGTGTATTAAATACAAATTTTTATTTATAGTTTATATATAAATCTAACAGAAATCTGATCTTACTTTAGACTTCGTTGTAACTAATATGAAGTTTAAAGTTAGATTAGAGTAAACATGGATTTTATAATTGAAGCACAATACTATAAATTGATAGATTCAAAAACTCGATAATCGAGTTTTTGTTTGATTTTGCCGAGCACTACACAGGTTATAATAGTGTATTTTTTTTTTCTTTCTTTGGGTGCATCTATCAGGACTATTCTATTCTTTTTTTTTTGCTTTTTTCATCTTTTTCCTATTATGTTAAAATACTGTTTAGGATTTATCTTTTTTTTTCAATTATGTCTTTTTTTTTTTTTTTTCTGTTTTTCTTTTTCTTTTCCTAGATATAGTTTTTTTTTTTTGTAAATATAGCATATATTTTTTTCTTATAGAAAAGTAGGAGATTAACTATTTTGCCCGGATCTAGATAGAAAAAGTTTTAAAAAAGGAATAGGTAGTCTTGATAGGCCAGTAAAAACCTTCCAGTAAAGTTTTATTTTTTTCAAGTGTAGAAGTAAATATTATGGTGAAGAATTCTGCTTATAGCAGATCACACATGGGTAATTTGAACTTTGGTTACAAAAAGCCGGGTGAGCTAATACTTGTAATTTAGATACCATAAAAACTTGTTCTTAGAAACTTGTTTTTCAGAATTTTGTAATATTTCTTAGTATAATATTTTCAAGCCTAATAAAATAGAGGCAAAATTGCCAAATTGTTTCAAAAAAAAAATACAGTAATACTTGCTCTTAGATGCTTATTAGAGATATATATTCTGAAATCGCCACCGAAATCATCACTTCTGGTGCTAATAAAAACCTACTAAAAA